GATAGAAATGCCAATTTCTATCAATAGGTCTGTGGTTTAACTGTACTCTCTCGGTACCAGCAGATGTCAGTGTTGATCTAAACTGTTCCCAGGGAAAGCAAGACAAAACGACGGGCCAGGAAGCCCTCGTACACACAATTCGCTTCATTGCGTCTGTCAGATTCATGTTGAATTCAGGAACCAAACGGTAACTATGAGGAAGTGCGTTTCAAAGTGTCAACGGGAGACCTTCTCATGCACAAGGGCCTGCTGGACTGTGAAACTACCCAACCTTGCCGTTGAACCTAATATTCTGTCTTCCCCCAGAGAAACACCTGGATAAGCTCCCCAGCTAGCTATAAACAGGCTGCACCTCTCTTTTCGTTTGTAAACCTTCAAGCGTTTTTATGTTATATCTAATGACCGACGCTTGAGCTCTATACGACCGGGGGGCAGCTGCAGTCTAATTCGCGGTCGAAAGGAGGACGAGCACAATAGAGCAGGAGCTCTGGGATGATTTCCGCTTCTCGTCGAAATCGGGTGCCCTCTCCATGCGCTCGACCTGACGCGAGCTCCATCCGTCTTCCCCTCCTCGTTTCACGTCTTCGCCCACCTGACCTCTCTTCTGCTAAATAAAGCGCTGTTAGAAATAAAAAATAAATAAAGCCGACGTTATGGTATATTAACGGCGGTACAGAAAGCAAGTGTCCCATCTAAACTAATTTAAACTAATTTAAATTTTAATAAACTAATTTTAAATAACTAAAGTCCCATCTAAAACTAACTAAAAAGATTGTGATCTTTTATTTTCTGATACGTGTCTTGAATCAGATGATAACATTTAGCCTGTTGCTTGCTCGAAAGCTTTGGATTCTGGTCTATACACAGTACAAAGAGATAATTCATCCTCGTCCGGTGATACCCTGAAGGAGAACTGGACTCAACAAATATATTTAAAGGGGATCTTGACCGCCTGTTCCAGCCCCTGTAATTAATGCTGCCTAATAACATCACTGTTCTGTATGCACGGCGGAAACGTCGTTTCGAATCGACAGCTAAGTATAAAATAATATATTTTAAAACAACATGAAATATTCACATAATTAACAATAATTGCTCACACTCAATAATTGCTCTTTTTCGAGAAACGCACTGGGATTTTTAATGACCACAGAAAGTCGGGACCTCGGTTTTATGTCTCATCCGAAGGACGGCGCCTCTTTACAGTATAGTGTTCCCATCACTATACTGGGGCATTAGGACATGGACCGCAGGGTGAGCACCCCCTGCTGGCCCCACTAACACCTCTTCCAGCAGTAACACCTGCTGAGCTTCAGTGGATTATCAGTTGTGAGTTGCAGGGTGATTTGGCTGCTGGATACGATTGGGGGGGGGCAGAACGACGATTGAAAAACGCAATAAGAAAAAACCCGGGAACAAGTCAGACAAAAAAGAATCCGACATTGAGGATTGTGAAGACTTCATGGATTAATTGGGATAATAGATGATGAACAGTATGTTTTTTACATAAAAACATAAGTCCGCACATTCCCACCCATACGCGTCGTTAATAAAAATCGCATCCTGGTATGAACTTACAGCAGGTCAGAGCCTTTATCAGGAAGTAGGCCCCGCAGACATCTGAGCGGTGCTCTCCCTGTTACAGACTTCCAAGGAAATCGCCCTCTGTATTTACCACAGGCGCACGCACAGCGCTCGCTTATAATTGCCCTTTAATCGCCCCGCCCCGCAAAACCCAGGCTGCGGAGTCGGGGGGGTCAGGCGGTGAGCTTTTCCTAGGAACAGTATTTTTGGTTCTGGAAGGACTCGCCTACTTCAGTTTCTCCTATAAAGCTTTTCGTCAACAATCCTGTCTGCAGGATACTCCGTTCTCCTCGAAAACTTTGACTTAAGCACACCGGCTTACTGGAACCCTTTTTTTTTTAAATTTGTTTTATTTGCATATTTCTTTTACGCGGTCGCACGTGAACCGGCAGGTGTTCATCGATATCAGGTAAGGTGCAGAATTTGATGGGGGTTTCCCCCCCCCCGTTTGACGCTTTTGTTCGAACACTTGTCGACGTGGACAAAAATAACAAATTGATAGCTAAAATATTGGAAGCACATTCTAACTAGCTTCTTAATCATTCAGATAAAATGTCCACTTATCAGAAATGCATCAGAATAACGACATTTGTCCTTTTAGAACGGGCGTATTTTAAACAAAAGAATTTCGACTACCTCTCTTCGCAAATGGCAATATATATGTATGTTATGCAGCAATCCTGTTTTTAATTAATTGTGCTCTCAGTCGTCAGCTGCACACGCCAAGAGAAAAGGATGCGAACAGAGCGAAATCTCTGTGCGATTAGTGACACAATAGAATCGCTCCTAGTGTGTTATCGCAAAACGTGAGCCGCATCCGTCTCTGTCGCCTGCAGAGAGCTCCGCTGAACGCGTTGAATCAATTCATTTATGGAATAAGGTCCGTGTGTGCCTTAATTTCTTAAGCTCGCGTTTCATTTTCCTGTAGCGTGTTTTGTCAAAAGGATAGTCTGTATTCTTCAGAGTGAAAATGTGGTTGGCGGCGACAATACCTCTCCCCTGTGTTTTTTTTTGGGTTCTCCGGAGCCTTCTCATATTGGCCATGTAGGGGGAATACTCTCCGTAGTAATAGTGGTTTAGGGGGACTAGGAAGAGAAACAGTATCGCGTGTGGTGTAGAGTTTACGAGAGAGGCTATACACAGTGTACTGAGAACTAAAGGGAAGAGCTATAATTTCAACATTGAAGTTGCTTCAGTGTCCGTTCAGTAACCAAGTCAATACTGACCTATTTTCAATAGCTGATTAAAAGAATCTGGATTTTTGTGAACGGCGCGAAACAGTTTATTTGTACAGCAACGCCTCAGCGTGCTCGGGAAGGAAAATCAGGTTAGTGCCATGGTGTGTGTGACTTTGTGTAGGTCAGACGCAGGATCGGGCTGCAGCTCTGAAATCCTTGTGCGGTGGGCTCGCCTGACGTCCGATCCACAGAGACGCCCCGAGGATGGGTTTCGGGAACAAGAGCGAGGCTCAGGCGGAGCAGAGGAAGGAGACGGACTTCTGCTCCGGGTCCTGTCACGCCGAGCAGATCCTGCAGATCCTCAACGCGTACCGGCACAGCGGCACCTTCACCGACGTGGTGCTGCAGGTCGGGGGGCACGAGTTCCCCTGCCACAGGGCCACGCTGTCGGCCAGCAGCCTCTATTTCCGCACCATGTTCCACAGCCAGCTGCGGGAGAGCTGCCAGTCCCTGGTGGTGCTGCACGACATCTCCCCGGCCACCATGGAGACGCTGCTGAACTTCATGTACGAGGGCAAGGTGGATGTCCACGAGGACAACGTGGAGGACATCTTCAAGGCGGCCGACCTGCTGGGGATCTCCGTGCTCAGTAAGGCCTGCGTCAAGTTCCTCGAGACGCAGGTGGACCACTCCAACTGCCTGGGCATCATGAACTTCGCCAGCTCCTTCTTCATCCGCCCCCTGGCCGAGAAGTGCCAGAAGCTGGTCTTCCAGGACTTCGTGGAGGTCTACAAGCACGAGGAGTTCCTCCGGCTCCCCAAGGAGCAGATCGTGGAGCTCCTGTCCAGCGAGCAGCTGCTGGTGGAGAGGGAGGAGGTCCTGGTGGAGGCCGTGCTGAAGTGGGTTCACCACGACCCCAGCGGGAGGAAGGGAGCGGCGAGGGAGCTGCTGGAGCTCGTCCGGCTGCCCCTGGTGGATCCCGTCTTCTTCGTCAACACCGTGGAGACGGATGACCTCCTCCAGGACTGCAAGGAGTGCCGGCCCTTGCTCCAGGAGGCCAGGAGATACCACGTGTTTGGAAACGAGGTCAACTCTGCACGTACCCAGCCCAGGAGGTACAGTAGCTCCATGCCCACTTCCCTTTGCTTAACCTTGTTTAAAAAAATATATAGCTAAACGGACACACCAGTTTTCGAAAAGAAGAGTGGCATTCACTTAGCGTGTGGGTTTTGGTGCAAAATCACAGCTGGCACTCTGCACAGATGGAAATACTATTGTAGCAAACGCATTCTCATAAAGTATTAATGAAATAGCACAATAGACGTTAAGCATACTGGAACACTGTGTAGAAGTCACCCACGATAGTCGGTTTTCCAAATCCCTGTTTGTGCAAATAATAATAATAATTGCAAATGTACAGCAAATGGAAATCGTTCCTCAAAAAGCTATTGCAGGGAATAGGCTTGCCTTTCAGAAAACCTTCTAACAGGATTTTGATAGGTTTAAGACCAGTATTTTTAAAAAGGAGACCCTTCTAGATTGTTTGCTGTTTAAGTGTAAAAGTCACAAAACAATTCATCTCATGTATAAATATCAAAACATTTGAGTGCAATGCTTTCCTATATATCCACAATGTTCTACGTGAAACCACTTTGTAGACAAAATGAGGGCTGTAGAGGCCCCAATCTGAATTCATTTTAAATGTATTGCTAAGAGGATAGCCCTGCAAAGAGTCATTTTAGTCATGGATATGATTTTATTTCTTACCACATGCATTGCCTTTTACACCCACACTCAGTTTCTCTTTCCCGTGTGGTCTGATCACCTCTGAAAATGTATTTCATGTCCAAGAGGGATTTCTGATGTATACAGTCAGCCTTTGGTCACGTGCAGACGATCGTGGGGCTATAAAATGCGTATGGAAGTGCAGCCTGTGGCCCGTGCAGAAGTTCCCCGTTTTGTTAACTGAAGAAACCTGTGATGGCATGAACACCCGGCTCGGGCTAGGCCGGGCTGTGCAGTCACCCTCGCTCTCGCTCCGGCTCGCCCCCTGCAGGTCGTCGGGGAGAACCGAGGTGATTGTGGTGATCGGAGGCTGTGACAAAAACGGATACTCCAGGCTATCGTTTACCGAGAAGCTCAACCCTCACACGAAAGAGTGGATTCTGGCTGCTTCCATTCCAGGATACTCAAAGTCCGAATTTGCTGCCTGCTCCCTTCAGAATGACATCTATGTATCAGGTATGCACCACTTTTCAAAAGTAGAGGATCAGTGTTCTCTTTCCAGCGACAATCGGATTTGAAGGTGCCTGCTACCCGCAAATATCGCTGGCTGCATTTGTTCATACAGTAATTGTTTGAAAGACAAACAGTTGTCTTTATTTGTCTGTGCTTGTTTTTTTACAGTGGTGGTAGTTTGCGAAAGTTTTCTTCAGTTAAAGTTATCCATCACCCACCTGTTAGACAAGTACAGACACAAAAACGGCAGCGTGTGTGCCTATTCATATCTTTTCAACCTGCCCCTTGGTGACTGTGGTATTAACCCAGCTGGAGTCCTGCCACATCCTTTGTACTTCAACTGGTTTCATATCATCATGTGGGTTCCCCAGACTAAAACAAGGGGAACAGCAACAACAATGGTGACGGAGCCAAACTGATATTAACGTAATTCCCAGAATGCATTATTTTGGAGAATGCGTGTTCATGTGAAACGCAATCCGTTGATGTACTGGAGATGCATCTGTGAGTTTTCTTGGAGAGGATGACAACTTGGCTATTTGAAAAGCTTTGTACTCGATTTAGGTTACTTGAGAAAAAACTCAAACGTGCTTTATGCATGTATGTTGCTGTTTCTACATACTGTGGTACGGTAAAGCATACCTTACAAAATTCACCTGAATTTGAACTTTTTATGATGTTTTATGATATTCTTGATGGTGTTGCATATACCAGCCAAATACTAGTCATTGTTGCCATTTTCGCTGAATTGTTGTTTTTCATGATACAAAATGTTGACTGAATATTCAAGTCTCCCTTACTTCTCAAATTAATATGTGCTGTATAAATCACTTCCCTTCTTTTGAAGAGAACAGTTTCAAAAGTCAAGCAAAAGCTTTTTTTCATTTCAGGCTGTATTTCATTCTATTTAAGATATTTATTGAAAGGAAAAAAAATGTGATCTATTTAAAGGTTTTCCATACGTAGATAGAAAACCGGTTTTATGTCTTATTCCTTCATTTTTAGTTTAGTTTTAATTAAATAACTATATTAACAAATATCCAACATAGCCTGTTTTTATCCAAGCTTAAAGATGAGAAAAAACGCATTACTCAAAGAAGAAAGAATATTTTGCTGATCTGTCTTTTTTAAAAGCACTCAAATATCATTTTGAAATATTTAGGACCTGTTTCTTTGAAAAGCAGGAACCCTTCTGATTTTTTTTAATTAAGTGTAAAGAACGTATGTAATTTATAAATATCAAAGTATCTGTGGGCAAAACTTTCCTATGTATATCCATAATGATTACATTTAAATCGATATTAAACTACCACATGCAAAAAAAGAGCTGTAGAGGTCGCAACCTGAATCAATTTTAAATGGATTGCTAAGAGGATAGCCCCTTGAAAGGCTTTTTACACATAAATATTTTTTTTACAACATCCATTGCCTTGTGCACCAACAGTCCGTTGCACATTCCCGTGTGGTCCGATTGTCTCTGAAAATGTAAATGGAAAAGTTGAAATGAGAAATGCATGCTGTTGAGCGATAACAACAAGGTAAATAGTCAATTTTGTACTCTGTCTACATGATCTGTAGTTGCCATCTACGAATTAAGCCAATGAGAATGTCTGCTTTTGTTCCTTGTTCAGGTGGGCAGTTGAACAGCTGTGATGTGTGGAGGTACATCTCTCAGCTGGACACCTGGGTGCGTGTTGCCTCTCTGAACAAGGGCAGGTGGCGACACAAGATGACTGCACTAGATGGGAGGGTAAGTTCTGCCCAAGGTTGTCTGAGTGGGGGGGCGGGGGAGAAGCGTGAATTTTAAAATCTAGTACAGTGTAATTGAAACGTGGAAGAGCTACACTTTTTTTTTCTTGTTTGCACGCTAGTGTGGTCTATTTTCAAAAATAATTCAACCTTCAGTGGTGTAACTTCAGATAATTTGTGAGTTCACCGGATTTGTTCTGCAAAAGCCAGTGAAGCAAAGCGTCAACACGACAGCAGTAAATCACTGCAGCAAAATGTCACTGGCCTTTTGACTGAGCTTTGAGCCATCTGCACAGAAGACTTAAGCTTTTCATTTCAAGTATCAAATAATAGTAGGGTTCCTCGCTGGCTGTTTACCGACGTGGGGTTTCTGTGCTGTTGAAATGTGGACAATTTAACATGTCGGGACGTATTTGACATTTTGATTGGCACATCTTTTTTCAAAGCATATATTAAATGGAAAGATAGCAGAAACAAAAATAAACAGCTCATTCCTTACTGCTATATTTAGTCTTGGGGAAGATTACTGACACAACTTCCTTTTCCCTTTGTGGAGGTCGTTTGCTGCAGGAATTTGTGTTACTTAAACTACTGCAGTTATTAAAAATGGAAACCCACAATGCAAGCTGAAACAACTGAGAATTCCCAAGAACCTAACATGTTATTGATAAACTATAGGTACTACAGGGACGTACGACTGCTCCTTAACTCCATAAAGTATGGATTCTAAAGAAGCAGTTCAGGTGGGGAGCTGCATCGGCATGCATAGGCCGGAACAAGGAACAAGTAAAGGTTAATTCCGTGCTGAAAAGAGAAGAACGATGTTTCAGTTGTGGAGCCTTCTTTGGGTGTTGGGAAGAAGGCGCCACAGCTGAAACATTGTTTCTTTTCTTCTCTTTTCAGCATGGATTGTAAAGAAGCTATTGATCCTTGCGGATGAGTCTTTCTAGTGTCCAGACGGGCTTAACTGAATGCGAACACTAACACGAGCTTGCCTGGTAGTGATGCATGGGTTGACTCACACCCGCGCGCGAGTGGGGGTTTACCAAAGGGTCCGGCGGGCTTGGGTTAAAAAAAAAATGTTTCAGGTTGGGTTGGGTGCGGGTTCAAAAAAAAAAAGCCGACCCACGCATCGCTATTGCCCGTTATTCATTGCAGATCTATGCGGTTGGTGGGTTTAATGGATCGGAAAGACTGCCCACAGTGGAGTGCTACAGGTCCTTCGATAACCAGTGGAAGCCCATGGCTCCTCTGCTGAGACCAGTGAGCTCTGCTGCCCTCGCGGCCTGTGCCGGGAAGCTGTATGTCATCGGAGGTGCCGTGAGCGACGACGCCAACACAAACCAGGCAAGTCAGGCGTGTGTCGCTTCTCCCCTGGGCCTTCAAAACGTTGTGGAAGAGCACCGCAGTTAGCCAGCCTGCAGGTCCTACGTTCCGGCGCGGAAACGGACGCGATGTCCCTCTTGTCTTGCCAAAACGAACGTGCCGCGGCCCCCCGGCCTTGCTCAACAAGTACAGACGCCTTTTCAGGAGATTGAGACGAGCCGTATAGTCCAGGTGCTGCTGGCCTGAGCCCAGACAGTGACATTAGCAGACTGTAACCAGGATTCCCCAGTTGTTCTTGCACGTCTGCTGCTGATTATTGGGCTGGGGTTGGACAGGACCCTTAGCTTTTCTTTGTAGGCAGCGGTTGCCCAAGTACGTTGCAGTATAAGGCAGGTTGATGAACAAGTGCCTATTTTGTAGGGAGTGAGGGAAGTCTCTTACATGCCAGAGTCTCCACTCTGTTTTGTGCAAAGCTGGTTGAGCCATGCCGATAAAAAAAAAAAATTGGCGATTCCAGATTTGCATGGCCTTGCGATGGATTGTTCTCGCAGAGAAGTTGCCTGCTGCTGCAGGTTCCTCTTTGTGCTTCGGGGATAGTCTGGCTTGTTGCAACCCTCTTGAGGACGAGAGGCTTTCTGACATTTGAGGGATAGTTTCTGATTTAAAATGAAGCCCCTTTTTCAGGGTGGGGCAGGGAATCCTTATTCCAAGTTTGAAGCTGCTTTTTCAATCATTTTTGATGGAACTGATTTTTCATACAAGTTGATCTGTCGATCATTTTAGATGTAATAATGGCACAAAGTCTGCAGATGTTAACAGGGCAGAAGTAACATGCTTAAAGAATTCTTTTTGTGAACTGGTATTTACACTTGGAATGCCCTATTTTTCTTTATGGTGTAGTTGTCGTCTTTTGTGTTTTAAGACCAGCCGAGATGTTTGTTTCTGTTCTTGCTGTGGAACAGGACAGGAAGGCACTGTGACACTGGATTGCTAAATAGCAGAACTCTAGTATGAGGACATGTTTCACTTTAACAGAAAGTCTTGTTAAGAATGCGACTACATTTTTTGATAAACATTCATTTTCATTTCGGCAATTGTGAAAGAAAAGCTGCTCTACTTGTGCTGAGGGGTATTTGGGGAATAATTTTAAGATTTCCTGTTAGACCATCTCAAGATCTCAAACTGCTTTCTGTGTGGGTGTGTGCATTGTGTGTGACTGTAAACATAATACTACAGTTCTGTACACAGTATAGATCTGGTTTTACTCCACTGCAGGTGCAGTGCTATGATCCTGTGGAAAACCAGTGGAGTTATGTGGCCCCTAGTCCCTTCACTCAGAGATGCATTTGTGCCACAACGCTGGAGAACATCATTTATGTTGTTGGAGGTCTCATGGATAAGATCTACAGCTACAGCCCAATGAGTAACACCTGGAGTGAGGTTGTAGACTTGCCTGGCCCAGTGGTAAGTGACCCGGCCATCTTCAGGACAGGGAAATAAAGGTCAGTGCCCAGTTGGCATAAGAGCTTGTCTTTCAGAGTACAGACTATGGTGCTCTTGTGACTTACAGTAATGCTAGGCTTGCAAAGCATATTCCTCCAAAGCTGAAGAAAAGTTCCTCCTTCTTTGAAGGAGGCATTAATGTACCTTCAGGAACTGTGAAGGCTTGTTTGCAGGCATCTGTGTGCAAACAAATATCTAAGTATTCTCTAAGAGTATATAAAGGATACTTTTGAATGAGAGATCTTTGGCTATAAGTTCTTTAACTCAAACTTAAGTCATTTATTTTTAATATCTGAGGTGGATTTACTTTTATGTTACGGGGTCTCCCCTGCCTATCTGGCAGGATCTGGCGGCTCAGAAAGACTTTGCTCTCCATGCATAAGCAGTTAAGGCGTTCTGTGTAGTGGAATTCTATTGAGCAGGCAGCTGCATCAGCAAGGGTAGGCTGCAAAGGAACGGGTAAGGGTTCATCCTGTGCTGAAAGGAAAATAAATACTACGTTTTGGCTGTGGATCCTTCTTTGGGATTGAGGATTGTTAAGAAAGCTTCGGACCTGAAGAAAGCTTCTTTCGGCGCCGGACGAACCTTGACCTGTTCCAACGCGGTGGGGTGTTCTGCGGTGTCTTTGCCGCTCGTGTTGGTGTAAAGGGGGACGGTTATTTCAACTGCACTTGTCCTCTGGAATCAGGAGAGCTGCGGTCTGACGGTCTGCGACTCCAAGATTTACATCCTGGGCGGGCGGAACGAATACGGGTTCGGCACCGACCGGGTCTGGTCCTACAGTCCGAAGACGGGGGACCTGACGGAGGAGCCGCCCATGTCCCGCTGTGTAAGTTACCACGGCTGTGTCACCGTCACTCAGCACGTCGCCAGGAAGCCTTGACTGCGCTCCCCGCCGGGCAGAAAGACCCTTGTTCTGCTGCTGCTGCTGCGTTCAGTCTGGCCGCGGCGGGGCTGAGCCTGTCCCCCGCACATGCCCTCTGCACCCGGCGGCCAGCTCGCCGCGCACCTGAACTCTCTGACCTGCAAGGCCGACTCTGTTCGCCTCTTCGGACGGGGAAAGAAAGAAGTCCTCCAACCAGGAACTTGGAAGGGCCTCACTCAGTCAAAAGTTTCTTTCCTGTCTCGGGTATCTCCAAGAATCATCACATTTCTATAACACGCGACGTATCTTCAGAAGAAACCCTTTGAAGCGGATATATCTTTCCAGAGAATCTTTAAAAATCTTGATCTGCCCATCTCTGAGCTGACTGAAATTTTTTTTTTATTTACTGTATCTTTTTGGCATTGCTCCAGGTCCGTGGATAACTGTCTTGTTGCTTTTTAATCTTTATTTTCAAATCTGTTTTTTTTTACCCACAAAACTCTGTAGGAGGAGTAGCATGGGGCTGTTGCTATACAGTATCTAATACCCTAAATGTACAACGAAGAAGAGGTAACGTAAGCTACGTAGTACAACATATCCCACTCGGGTCTTAGTTTGAGGGCTGCAAGCGTCCTTGGCAAAACTTTTGGAAGGGAAACCCGAAACAGTTTCTCCAAGTGGTTTGCTCATGCAAAAATGTATTTTCTGTCGATTTCGTTTGTTACATCAGCCTTAGGAATTGCCCAAAGTTGTCCGCATTCCGTTTCTGACTCCTGTGTAGTCTTGTTGGGACATGAGCTTGAAATACATTTTGCTTCATTATTAATTTCCCGTTAATAACTTCCCCAAGACATTCCTGTCTTCGGTTGGAATGCACATTTTGATTAAGGAATGAAAGGATTTCAATCCCCCCGGCTAAATGTAGTCATTTGCTTTCACACAACCCCGACTAAGGATATAATCCACTGAATTCTGTTTCCTAAGAATTGCCATCTGACGATCCCAAAAAAAACACATTTATCTAATCCTATGCAGTTTATGGTTCCTCAAAATTTCCCTTAACAGCAACATGCAAATCGAGGAAGAATTAAAGGATTGAAAAGGAAAAAAGGTGCGAGGGCTTCATGGGAATTTGCTTGGGCCCATTCTTCTCAAAGCAAACAAGGGTCTACCGGTTCCCTAGCCGGACTTGCCGCTGACTCTGCGGTCCAGACCTCGTCTCCTCAGCAATGATTGGTTACCGGTTTCATTCTAGAAAGAACTACACGATCCGCATTTAGTTATGGAAAAAACGCAGCCGTAGAAGTTGCTTGTAGACCTTAAAAGACCTTCTAGAGTAGCGCTACCTTCCAGTTCCAACTCTTTTTAGGGTGAAAATATTCTCTACAGTGAAACTCGGAGCTACTGCATTCAATTCCACTATCGGCACAATTCCAGTTAGGAAAATGTATATTCGCTTATAATCATAGTGCTTACTCTAGTGTTGCCGGGAAAGGGCGTTAACTGTGTGTTGTTTTGTAGGTTTGTCAAATAACCAAGTGATTTTATTCTTTTTTTTTTCCATTTCAAAAACACTTTGCTTTGACAGTGAAGCTCCTGCCTGAGTTGCAGGCTAAAGAGTTTGACATTTGTGATTGAAATGCAGTTTGCAGAATTAAGCATCTTCATAAACTGTGAATACTCTCGATCGAGCTAGTGTATCCTTATAGGTAATTTGCTATTATCTTATCACATAAAGTGGAAATCCCCGTTATGTGAAAAACACTACTGTGAATTTTTTTAATGTTCTTATGAAGTGAATCTTTTTATATAAAGTTTAGTATTTAAAGTGTGTGAACTGTGTACTTTTCACCTTTTATCATATTTATTTGTATAAGATTTTTATCAATGTAACTTTATACAGTGACAAACAGAACGGTCGAATTTGATCGTAGACGCGTAATCCTTGCGTTACTGATGATGGATACACGCACTTGCACGTTGTCATACAGGAGGATCAAAATGCACCCGAATACGTGCAATTGTGGATAAGGTATCAACTCTTTTAATGCCTTGTACCATTCTGTCAAAACTGCTGTAACAAATAAATATCCAATTTTAAATCCGATTAACGTTTATGTTCAATTCCTCTTGTCGGGTTTAACCCCAGTTCTTCTAGTTGACAGTGATGGAAAGACCGCTCTGGAAGCAAAGTGCGCGTTGAGAATTCCCGACTTCATAATGTAATTTCCCCTTGTCTGAAAATCAGATGGGCCAATGGCTTCGAAGTCCATTAAGTCCTAATTAATGAGCAGCGCTGCACAGCTGAGGCTGCAGGCGATGCTAGACGTCGGCACCCGATCTCTGTAAAAACCCGCGTTGTAAAGTGATGATAAAAGGATTAGAGTTTATCCCGAGGGGGGAAAGCGGAGATGAATTCGGTGGCTTTCAGCCCCAGTCGTGTCCATCACACGCGCTTTTCCAAACTTTCCGCTGAATTTTTAAATTGTATCTGGAATGTGCTCTTTTTGTGCCGGAGAGGGAGACCAAAGGTGAAGTCTGGAATCTTTAATATTGTATTAGGCAACGATATTGTGTAAACGCGCCCTTGAACAGACCGCAGTCTGCCCATACAGCAGGAGAGGGACAGCTCAAAATCAGTCAGGATACAAACAAATAGTTCCCCTATTGTTTCAGCGGTAGTTCGTTGGGAAAGATCACTGTTTATATATAAAATATATACAGAGAAAACGAGATGGAAACGCTGGCAGTGTATTTTTTTAATATTTAGTTGATTGGCCTGTTTTTAGTCTCGGGCCAGCTGTATATCCTGTTTTTATAATTGTTCAACGGGCTAAAATAGTGTGGGGGTTTTTTTTTTTGAGGTCGGCAGATTTCAGATTACAGAAGTTACATCCTTTTCTATGCTGAGGGCAAGTGATACTCCTTTCTAAATCAACTCCGAGTAAGGCGTCAGGAGGAAATCGCGCCGGTCTCCTCCTCCTCCAGTCAGACAAAGAGACGGCAAGATGAACACGCGAGCCAGCTGAGCTCCTGAAACCATTGATCTGGGGTTTAATCAACCCTCAGCACCTGCCAGCTGCCTCCCCACAGAGCTGCTGTAAAACAGCCCCCTCCACCCCCAAACCCGCCTCGCTGGGGATCCAGCCTCGTTATCTCCACAGCAAAACGTTTCATCCTTCAGGACTGTTAAAGCGGCATCAAGCAGTTCAATATATTACACAAAAATCACATTTTAAACAGAGCGGTATTCCGCAGGTGACAGGGAAATTGTAGTGAGCCCTACACAAGGAAAACGGATTGAGTCTTCTACGTGGCCGTTATGGAGGGCACAATTTGTAATGATCTCATTTACACAAGTGACCGAATCTCTCGGCGAACCAGTTGGTGATTCACTGCGTTTTAAGAACCGCTAGGGATGTCTTTGTGTACAGGTAGATGCATTTTTTTTTAAATGTAGCATTCGCAATTTCCCAGATTAAGACAAAAGCTTATCTTAAATTCTAGTACCTTCAAATCCCAGTTTTGTTTTCCTATGAACGCATTTCGAAAGGAACAGCAGAGATCAAAATTATTCATTCGGTTTACACAGGATTCTATTCGTTCCTGGTGCGCCTTGGTTTTTATATCCACTAGTGTGAACGAAAAGTAGGGACGTTTCTTTTTTAAAACACATAAAATTTGGTAGCAAAACATTGGCAATTAGGAGAGGGTGATTTTTACAGCAAAGTGTCCAAAAACACAGAAAGGAAAAATAAGTTTTTCACTACGATGAAAATCGTCTTTATGAAGAATCTTTGTAAAATCAGATAAAGGCATCATCTAACAGCATGCGACAAAGGTCAAGGATTCTTAATATAATATTTATAGAAACACACGAATTATAAATAATAACATATTGGGATTCCTGGGCTGTTTCTTTCTCTTACATTTTCATTTTCTGTGGAAAACATCAGACCCCAGCTGTAGATATGAAGAAAAATATGAGGAAACGTGACTTTTTGAATTCTAGCAAATATGAGCTAATCTTAAAAACTGGTTTGTCAAGGGAGCAGCGTGTGAGTGTGGCTCAGCAGAGCCAAAGTAAACACAAGGAGTGAACTAACCCTAGTAGCCCTCCTGTTACTGTGTATTTGGCTCACTCACGGCGTAGGAGAACGAATCCTGGAATACAAGGTTACAGATGAAGCTGCAGAGGGCTTAACCAACATCATCCTGATGTTCTCACGGGCTCCTTGTGTCCTCAACTACACAGACGAGCTAGACCGATGTGGAGAGGCTGAGACCTGGGGTACCCTGATACACCATAGCTGGCTAGAGACTGGGGCCGCGCAGAGAACAGAAAAGGAGTCATATTTTGGCAGCACTGGGAAGATGTTAGCCACCAGCTAATTTCTTCTGTTCTCAGTAACATCGCTCTTACATGGAACAGAAGAGTTTCAGAGGCACAAGCCTTATATTGTGAGCTCAAAGTATGCCACCCTCTGCCCCATCCTAAATTCTAAAGATAAAGAGCTTCTGCATCAAAGCAATACACAAGTATGAACAAGTTCCCCCCAACAGCAGGATAATGGAGGCTGCATATTTCCACAGTTCAAATCTGAATGTTACTTTGCCCTGTCTCGCTAGTGGCATTGCATTACAATACCGTTAAATGCAAGTTCTGTACTTCAATAAAAATACATAGACCACTATTTATGTTTTTTTAAACCGGTGTTGTATTGAACAATGCTTCACCCGGCCACGTGTATATTTTTAAAGCCGTTTTTCTTTTGCACACCTCCAAAGGACATGTGTAGCTACTCTTACATAGTTTTATTTTGGTCAACAAGCCTCTTTCAATCCGATCTGGTATCTGCGAGGACTCGTACTGTGCTTTAACCTTCTCAAAAAACAGAAATGTGCAATAGAGGATTGTTACAGCAGCTCGATATTCTATCCAAATTTAACTGTGAAGTAAATTCCCCATAATCACCATGGTTCAATTCATGAAAACGCTCGTTTGTCGGTGGATACAAATATACACTTTATTTTCTTATCTATTAACAGAAGCACAGTTAAGAATGTTTATTTGACATCGTTGTTACTTCATTGCACTTCTCGCAAAAAAAAAAAAGTCTGGCGAACAATATTTTCATCAACATTTGAACGGTTTTACGTGCCTTCGTGTCATGATTCCAGTACGATTTGATGGATTCTATGCATGACGGAACACTCACTGCGACAGGATTTAAGGCATGTATATGCCTGATATATCGGATGGCCACAAATATTGTTTTTAATAGTAAAGAGGGGAGGGGAGGACATACAAACGGTACTGACGTTCAGGTATTCCATCCAAGTTTGCTTCAGAGAAAACCAAAAAAGGGACAGCAGTGCCCTCTAGTGGTGCAAGTTTCCAAGAGCTTTCATGTCATTTACAACAGACCTGTATATTACCAACCTCTCTTATGGAGTGAGATAACTGCCACTAACAATATCTAGTTCAACGATCTCATGTCTAGACTGGCTTGCTCTCCATGTAGCTGAACTACATCCACGCTTACTAAACAACAAACCACAACAGATTAAATTTACCCATAAAAAAGGTAAATGATTTTATATAAAATTAAATCAGGTACAACAGTTTTATGCATAAAGTAAAAGTAGATACAGAATTATTCCAAACCAACCAAATTCGTTTGTATCTTTAAGCAGAGATCATGTACCAGTTTCAGGGTTAAAAAAAAGCACATAACACAAAGGCATCCATGTTTAAGTCTACATTCCAGTTTTAAGACATAGAACATTTAGAGTATACAAAAAACAATAAAGGAAGAAGTTTTTGCATGTTTCATACACATCACATAGCATAGATTGATTTGCAATACAAGATATTAAAACACAAGCATAAAAAACACTTAGAAATTTAGCCGAGTTGTGTTAAAGGCAGCTGTACATTTAACAGAGCCGTGAGCACTGTTTGATAAGCAAATACCAGCACTGTACAGAGCACTGTCCTTCAAATGCTGAAAGCAAGAAACAAAACAGTGGGTTTATTTTTACTCTTTAACAGGTTACTACAAATACTACAGATAACACTGCAAAAAACTGGGGGAGGAAAGTTTACAGTATTTTATGATGTACTGAGGAATGTTAGGAAGTTGTCTTGGTTATTTAACTAGGACATTCATCAGGAGAGTGGACAGTGCTCTCTGGAAATGTCATCAATGAGAAACCAGTGGAAGACATAGCAATGAGGACTGTGAGACTCCAAAGGCCTCCACGCTCTTAAGACTCGTCAGGATACAAATTATGCATTTTAAAAATGTCAGCAAAAAGACTATTATTAGAAACCGAGTACAAGTTCAAGAACTGCAGCGTAGTCTTAATGAACTTAAGAAGGCGTGCAATGCCTTACAAACGGATTTAGATGAACTGCATTCTGAGCATACAGGCCCCATAGTCAGTATGATCTCCACTTGTATGGGTTGTAGGAGTGTCCCGGGACACAGCAGTTGAGATGTATGCTACTACAGCTCTTCCAACAACTGCATCAACAAGGAAGATTCATTTCCAATAATAAACGCAGATGCATACATTGTTCTAATGAACAGAAGTACATACAGAGTACATATGGTCAACGCAAGAAAAAGTAGGATGTTAAGGAAAGAGCAGCTCTTTTGTTTCCAGCACACTGCCCTTCCCCCTTCTTGCAAGATGCATAATTATAATTTCTGCATTTTCTAACTTCACTAAAAGAGGAAGAGTCACTGATGCCATAAAGCAACAATAAACTACGAACTGAAAAGCAGAACAAGACGGAATCCAATTTGCTACAGCACATTTGATATCCTCATTGATTTTTTTTTAAAAGGACCAATCGCACAGCACTTTAATCCATCGTCTCACTTTCTGAAACTCTCTAATCGCTGCATTTGGTTTTTTCTCATCAATAAAATATTCTGGAAATGGGGAATTTAAAAAAAAAGGCTTCCGTTGCAGAAATATAAAGGCTTTCGTTAAGAATCTGTGGCGGACAATCGCCAGTCTTGTTACAAGAGCTAATGCTATAATGCTATTCAGCTACATTCCTAATGTTGTATTTTTGCTCTAGAAAGCTATCTAATAAAACTGCTTTCCTTTTTTACTGGTTACTTCTAAACTGTAAAAGAAAAAGGCTTTAAGGACAAAGAAAAAAAATCCCTTTATGGCACCTCATAAATAGCACATGAAATATTATGGAGTTGAAACAGAACTAAAAACAATTATGGCACAATCTTTGCTCATGTCAGTAATAGTGGCACAAGAAAATTCAGTCTCCTAAAACAAGTGCGTCCGATAAAAAAACGGATCTCGTTTGGCAGTTGATAAGCACCTATGAAATACAGACAGCTGTTCACTGGCAAAAACGGTTCTATTTTTCTACACAGTCACATGATCGGACAATTGTGCAGCGGGAAAAAACAATTAAGGCCAAAACAATAAAATAAAAGTGGGGCACAGCTTGGTAGTCAGAGTCAGCTCAGGGATGAGCAAAAACAACAACTGCACAGGGAACACCTGCGCAATATTGTATGAGATGAACACTAGTTTATGTTCCAGTTTGTGTAGTAATTAGAACTTTTTTAAAAAGTCTCACAGACATACTTTTGTCCACCTGGATTAGTTACTATAGGGCAGCTTTAATGCTTTATTCCATCCTGTACCTAAAAACTACAAAGCACCAGGGACCAACAGTATTTTTACAAAAACCTAAGCTTTGAAAATATTCTGGTCATGAATAAATTACATGCAGATTTTATGTACATTTGTACTAGACTAATCACACTTAAGTTCCATCAAGATCTTCTTAAACCACTAGAAAACACCTAATTTTTATTTGTTAAGCCAGTGATTATTATTACACAAATATACTTAATTTGTATAACATCTACCACCAGTTTACACAAGGATGTAAGTCAAACGCAATGTATGATCCTGCTCAACTCGGAAAAACTTGATTTTTGAGAAATGATTTGTTTCGCCCCAGTTTACTTTCACCGTGATGAACATTGTGGGGGATGTGGTGAGATCGGAAGATTACTCTAGGAAGGATTCCAAGGAAGTGGTCGTCCAGCTCCCCATGGGTGACCATTCCTCTATTTCTACAAGCACTGGAGTGCTACTGTTGAGGAGGATACAATCTACAGCAACTATCGTTTACTACCATTTAAAGTGACTGTTCCTGCCTGCAGCAAGCAATTTTGTCAGTGAAAATCCGATGAATTAGGTTCGGGGGGGAAGGAAGACAGGGCACTGTGGCATTAAGTCGTCTTTGTTGCTGTGCACACTTGTAACTTCTGAACATGCAATGCTCTCAGCATCAGTTAAATAAAATCTGTTCACGCAGAAATGCGGCAATCCTCAAACTGTCCATGACAGTAAATAAGAAAACATAAAAACTTCGTCTTTTCCATTTCCAGTTGTTCTTTAGTTCTTCCGGATGTCAGCGTACACCACGGGCTCAGACTTGTGCAATATATTTGAGCTCTTGCTGCCTGAGTGGTCCAGCTGGGCATATATCACCGGGCCCTGGAAAAAGAAAACAATCTGTGAGCCATGACTCCACAGCGTGGGGTGCAATAACCTATGTAACATCACCTGAAGGTAGATTTCAATTTTTCATCACAACTGCAATACAGTTTATTACATATATTCTTTCCCCCAGTCATCCTCTGAACTTCATATCCACAACAGTCTTTGCTTGATAAAGTGCTTCTCTTTTTGCAGTTTTCTTGTGGAGTGGAAAGTCTCAGAGTCTCCCTGAAACTGTCAAATGAACCTGACGGGTGAACTCCATTCTTATACAAAGGACAACGCTTTTGGAATGGTTGAATTGCCCACTATCATACCCTTGTAGGTCCTCAACACATCCAGCAGCAGGAGCAAAAGTGAGCATGATCTTGGTTGTCAGTATGAATACAGACTGGGAAAGTGGGGCTGCTCACAGGAACCACTGGCTGGTGGTGTCCATGTGTGCACAGCGACGCCACCTTTTGATCCTGCGGTGTCACCTCTTGCTGTCATTTGGAAAGAGGACTCTCCAACTGGTGGAGCTGTTCACTCACTAATATGGAACGTGAGCGCGGCTGACGGCGGTCTTAACCACAAGGGCTGGTTTTACCCTGCTGATTACATGTTAGAATAAAGATCCTACTCAGCAGAAGAAAAACTGCAGACATCTGGGGTTTTGCTTGGCTGAGGAGCTAGCAGCTACAGGCCTATGAAGACCTTATCAGAACCCCTCCTAAAAAGGGGGGGATTCACCAAGTTCAAGACACGAAAGGAAGACCCATCTGTACACATATAGCCTAAACATAAAAACCATCAACCCTGTGTACAGTATACAGGGGATGTGGTATCCATGCATGGAGGCACTGTGCAATGGAATCTGTGTCTTAACCTCCCTCACTGATGCAGGTCTTGGACCGTGAGGTGATGGGATCGACTCCGAACGTGACTGGAACTGGCCAACTCAGGAACTGAACAGTTCCAGATGTTCAGTTGGAACAAAGAGTTACTGTCAAGCGTTAACTGCAACTCATTTCATACAATTAATTGCATTCCCATTTCTACTGGACTGAATAATGAATAATCACACTGAATGCCATTATGACTGTCCTGAATTCTGATTTTGGGGCGATGTGAAATGCTCTCCCAGTTTACTGCATTGGGGGTGATTTGTTCAGCGAGGTTACCCCCAATTACATATGGGGTACGAGAAGTCCTCTATCATCCTAGGAACATGCAAGTCGAACCCAGCAGACAGGACACCCCACTTAAAAAAGGGCATATTATATTGAGAACCCCATCAACAGTCAGTGGTCAGCTGCCACAAGTCTCTTCGGCACATCAATACCACAAAGAAAAAGTGTGATCTAGTCAGGCGAACCATAGACAAATCACAAAACTCAGTAAGGCCCGATTACAGACTTAATGCTAAAAGACCTCTGCAGAAAGTGGAAAAGAGCAGAGGGACACTGAAACAAAGAACTGACTTGTTTGTAACTATTCTTATGAATAAGAGGAGGGCATTCGGTCCATCTGATTTGTATGGTAGTTAGTAGCCAGCTCTTCAACAGCATGGCTAGAGAGTTTGTTCCCCTTCCTAGAGGCTTCTGCAGTTGGCCAGTCTTTTGAAATGTTAAGGTGGGGCGTTCTGGGTTTGATTTTAAAATGGGGCGCCTTCTGCATGAAGTCTGGCTTTTCTCCAGGTCCTCCCCATTTCATCCTGCCTCCCAAAGGGTGACTAGGCTCTCTAGATTGTCTTTGTTTTACATCCTGCGATGGAGCGGCGTCCTGCCCCAGGGGTGCTTCTGTCTCGTACCCTGTGTTGCCGCGATGCCCCAGACCCTTCCCAGGAGGAAGCAGCTTTTGCTAAAGGATGGTGATCGAGCACCGTCTGTCAAGGAAGATTCAGGATGTCAGAACAAGAACGAGGAACTCTAAGGACACAGAAGATTCCTTTCATTTCAATCCAGCTTGCTCCCTGGGTTGCCAGCAGCTTGTCGATCCAAGGATCTCCCCAAGCCATTCCTTGAAGGACCCCATATGATCCGATACACTTCAGCAACATGACCCAGATTTTTATTTTGCTCCAGAAACAATGCATTTAACACTGTTTACCACTGGAGGATATTACCCAGGGTTCTTCAGCCCCAGACACCTACTGAACTCCTATGAACCCTCTAAGGTACATTGATACAAAGTTTACTTTCTCGGCAGGATCCCTAAATAATTTAATACAATTCTAGAGAGCAAGAGTAAACTATAAGTGCAGACCTGTGCCCACTGATTCAGAGAGTATGGACACTGGCTCCTCCTGAAAGGGCTAAACGGGATCATAGAATATGACCAACCATTCAGAAGATTAAGCGAATGTGAACACTGTTTTCTTTCTCAGCAACGAACGTAATGTTCACAATGGTACACTGACTCGTAATGTGTAATTAGATGGACTGTAACTGCACTGAAGGACCATGATGCAGGTTAGCCCTTTGAGAAGAGGACCAGTCTGTAGCCTATGAAATGACAGGCACACATTTACATTTAGGATCCATTAGAACGTGCTCTCCAGAATGCAATCGTTCGGGTGATTAATTGAATCAAATTAAACTGGGGTTCCCGACAAGTAAGAAAAGGTATACACGATCCCTTTAAGATCTGTGGTATTCTTGCTGACAACTGCTGAACAACAAGACTTTTTACATTCTTAAAGTTCTGAAGCGAACGTGAACTTCAGGAACAGTCCTAGTGACACCAGTCAACCAAAAAAAAAAAAGAGGAGAGGAGAATCCGAATATCCACCAGCCCGCCCCCAGTGAACTCTTTAAAATTCCTACCTGGACTGGGCCGGACGGACTGCTACACCTTGAGCCTTCTGTACTGGAGTCTGCTTTCTTCCCCATCCGCGTTGGTTGTGAAATCATACTCTCAGAAGAGGTGCAGCTAGTGGTCATTTTATTTAATTTTTTGTTTGGGGGGGGAGGGGTCGAGGATGAGGTGGTGGTGGTTTAGAATTCGAATGGCGGTGGCAGCACATAAGCAAGCGTTGGCGTACAGGTAGAGCATAAAAGAAACGAAGACAGACAAATGCAATGAGTGATGAGCACAATTAACACAAATTACACTCTTATGAGGAGCCTGTCCCGATGATCTTCATGAAACGTTTCAGCACATTTCTGCAACTGCACACACACACACACGCAGTAGTTAGCAGCATGTAGTGCTGTCAGGCCAATCGCAAGCACCTGTTGCATTAACTGATCAGAAACAGCATGTTTCACACACCCACAACAGCACTGCGCCACATTCTTTCCAAATGCATTCTAAGGATATTTGTTAAGATAAGTTGCATTAATACGTGCTTATAGCGTGCTTATTAGGTCTGCAGTGGTGCATTACCATCACACCGCACACGTTAACCTTGCATGGCATTTTAAAAGTGAGTTCCATGGTATGGTATGTATTTATAAAGTATGTAAAAAATCGTAAGGTTTGAACGGAGTTAAAAAGCACTTCTGTGCCTCCACGTCCTGAGTACTACCAGCATGTGCAAGGTCCCACAGGTCTTCAGGGTTTTAAGTGAGACTTTGCTGCAATCTGCTTGCGGTTGAAATTATGCTATAAGCTCCTGTAAAACTCGGTGGTGGTATAATATTTTTATGACTATTATTCCCAGAGTTCACCCTTTCAAACCACACTTTAAATGCAAATATGTTGCACGTTAAAAATACATTTAGAGAAAGATTCGGAGATAATATTGCTTTTGTGGGGCAGACTCTCCCACCAATCGCTCCACATGAGTGTCGACTGGTGTCTATAGCTGCATATGCAGAGTTGGACAGGACAGATAAAAGACAGTCATGTAAAACAAGGCGATTATACAGAATGACACAAATCCTATAGAACAGATGCACATTGAAATGGCATCCTGTGTCAAAGTTCTCATCATTTTGCCAATCAGACTGAAATTAACACAGTCCGGTAAAAAATGAACATAACGATGGATGAGTAGCAGAAATACATTTTCCGTTGGAGAAAAAAAGCTCCCCAAAAATCAGTTCATATAAAGTTCCTTGACTTTCGCTACAGAAATCTAGTAAACGTCAAGGAATTGTTGTACTTATGCACAGATTTTCCTAAGATGGATGACGGATTGTAGTACTGAGATGACAATATAAAGGACGTTGTTTTGTTTCGAAACAGTTTCTATGTTTAGATGGTTTTCTCAAGACCTTTGTATCGCATGGGTTAAGTCAAAAAGGTATTCTTTTCAAAACAAATTACAAGCCTGCTGGGATAAGTCACATTGCATTTGAGGGCCTCTCATTAAAAGACCTGAAAGGGAACTTGACAGGCCTGCTAATCTGAGGTGGCTTACAACTCAAACAAAAAGAGTCCAGCCTTTTAGGATCATGTACACAGGGCAGCAGTATTTAAAGCAAGACAGAAATTAACGCACTGTTTAGTAATTGTACCTGGCTTTACTGCTGGACAGAAAAGGGATACAGGCTTATGTTTGACTTCAGGAAAAGCAAAACACAGCTGAGGGATTTTCTGGGCCTGAGTTTAGCTACTCTGGTTCTATTTTTTCTGTGTTTATTTAACAGCTGAAAGCTTTAGAAACATTAAAAAGAAACTAAAGGCTCTAATCTGATTAAAAAGCTGAGAGTCAAAGGCAGCTGCTTGGCTCTATACGTCTTCAGTGAATGCAAGCAGCTAAGTAGCTTTCCCTAAATGGTGCAATGACAGTGCCTCTATTATAAATCAGCTCATTAATGCTGGTTACAAACGTCACAAAACAGTTATTAGAATATTAAAATTTTTACTCTAGGTACAGTCCTAACCATGGTGTGTTAAGTGCTAGTATGTTAGTCGCAAATAATACATGCTTGTGACATATATGTTAAAAGCGTTACTAAAATGTCTTACAGTAAATATTTGCATCCAAAATATCTTTGGATTACAATGTCAGAAAATATGCCCGTCAGGGAAACACGACAACTTGCAGGATCTTTAAATAAACTGACTTTTAGGGTTCAATTGTTCTCAACATGCAAGATCATTGCCAAGTTCGAAGGAATGACTTTCCCAGTATTTTTAAGGATGAAAAGGGCTTCAGTTTAGTCCTTTAGGACGCCACAGATGTTCCACACAGCGAACGCAAGATAGATGTGAGTTCATTAGATGAGCGAGTAAAAAAACAAGACATGACAACCAAGGACAGTTTTGTTAAATCAATGCCAGACAAACATGGATGATGCAGTTAGTACGTTAGCCAAAACGCCAGGCTCAGCAGTCCGCCTGATACCATGGGCTGAGGTTTGGGGAATGTGCCGATGCTGTTAATCCAACATGCACTAAGTCTTGACGAAGACTTAGCTCTTTTAGAAGTCTTAGTTTCCCACCCAAGTGTTAGACAGGTTGTCACTGGTGCCAGTTTTAGTTCAAGGTTACTCAAGCTCTGATCTTTACTTTTTCCCGTACTCTAGGCCCATGTTTCTCCGTTAACCATGGTTAAATAAAAGAATAAATTAAAAGAGTAGAAAGCTGTCGTACATCGACTATAGCACTGAAACTGACCATTTCTGAAAAGTCAACTTGGCTTTGGTAGTCAACAGAGCAGCAGAATTTCACTTGTGAACTGTCCCTCACCGCACAGCAAACACAAAACAGCTAGTTCTCATCTGTGATGATTTCCATACGAAATTGCATTTTGATCTAATGCAAAATACCCATGAAGAATGTGTTATTTGAAAATCTGCAATAAGATTGTAAGCACTTACTTGCCAGAAAGAAATTCAAAAGAGGATCGTTTTGTGCATGCCTTGCAGCTTAAAAGTCCTATTTCTGTTGATCAAAGTTGGTTTACAGCCAACATGAATTGAACTGATTTTTTTCCCCCGACAGATAATTGATTAATTACCAATAAGAACCGGATTCTAGTGAGATCAACGAATGATTTGGGCTCAGAACCACTCTGTAGCTCTAGTACTTGAAGATGATTACAACCAAGAGCATAGCGTTAAGGAAGATCTAAAGCAACATAAAATGTGAATGCTTCTTGAAGGTCAGGATTTTTTAAGACCATTTACTTCTGTTAGTTGCACACTGTTTGTTCAAGGCAGTTGTAAGTGGACACGGTTAAGTCTCACAGGCAAAGACGATGCATTTCAAACGACAGGTCTAAAAAAGCCCCAGGATCACTCCAGGCTGAGTGTGATGCATGCAAGACCTTCACTGCAGCCCTCATTCCCACTCTTTAAACAGCAACTCGTCCAAACACTCGGCCAAACCAGGGGAATAAAGATCAAGTAGTTTAATGCACGAACCATCCTAGCATTAAAAAAAATCCACAGAAAAAAACATACCAAACCATAAAACACCAGTGAAGTGACCCACTTTGCATTAGGAGGTTTTTCGTGGATAAAACCTATTGATCACACAACAAGCTGAGATTATAGTTTTCACACCTTCTCCTTAAAAGTAGAGTTTTTTAATGAAAGTATAACCATGCATTAATTGGGAGTGGAGAGCTCCACGTGAGACTTAACTGTTTATACAGCATGCCAAACATCTATTTGGATTTTGTACATCTGTTACTTTCCTTCAATACTCTGTTTGCTAAAGGCTGGACACTTTAACAAATGCCAGCAGAAATATCATGAAAAAGGATAATCCTATCTAAAACCGGATGTAGATCTTGACAAAGCAAGTCTTTTGCTCTGTAAGCTACATTCATCTGATATTTCTGCCTCTTTATGCATGTGGAATCGTCCTTCTGGTATTAAATGAAAAGGGCAAGAGCTAACTACCAGCATAAAAAAATAACTTACCGCTGGAAAATAGTTTAATATGCTGAGCCATGTTTCTTGAAGGCAAGATAAAAGCCTTGTTAAGATTTAAGTGAAACATCCCACACAAAACCTGCACAGCTATCTAAACAAAATCAGTCACTCGAGGTACATTACATTTCAGTAACCACACACTTACAACCTCACTGCTGCCATCTCCACCTTCTGGCAGATAAAAAAGGCCTCTTGAAACGTGACTGTTGATAGTATCAGTGCTCCTTCATTCTCAGAGACGGACCTGCAGTTTTAGATGCAATGCAATACTGTGGAATTGAAAAGAAAGCTCAATGTCTGCCTTACCCTTGATATTCCGGCTTAGCTCCCCGTCTCCTTAAGATCAAATAGAAAACGATGATGATGAGTATCAAGCCAAGAATGGCTCCAATCACAGCTCCTGCAATTATTCCAGCATTTGACTGAGGCAGAGCATCTGCAAGGCAAAGACATAAGCCGAGTGAAAACTGAGCAACAATGCACAAGTCTGTGGACCCCAGCTGGGAAACTGCCTTGAAACCCATCCCAAAGATTCAAGCATAATTCAGGGTCCATTTCCACTTCTCAATCAAAGCAAAAAAAGTGCATGAAACCCTACACATAAAATGTACCATAATGAGTCGCCTGTATGATTTTCAGAAACAGCCCGAATTGAAAGTCTCCCTTTATATTATTCATAATACAGCTTACATTAACACAGAACACTACAGCCAGGCCACCCCTTCATAATGGTGTGCTTTAGAATTGAATCAGTACCACCCCACACGATGCACAGAGATGAAAGATTGCCCACACAGGAACAGAACTGCACAAGAGCGATCTGGCACAAGATCTCATGACACTGAGTTATGGAGACTGAGTCCGAATTTTTACCCTTCACATGCATGACTAGAAAGACATGCTTCTAGCATAGGGCGCCCACAGTGATCAAGATCATAACCTCCAAAGTATTTTTATACTTCCTCGATACATCCCTTCTACCTGTCAATCTCCTTAGGAATACGGATTTCAGCCCCAAAACAAATTTATGGGGCCATTTTTCACATTTCACAATAAAACAGCAAGAATTCACTTTCCCACACCTGAATAACATTCATTTTGGAAAGTCTGGCTGTTCTTCAGCTTCTAGACTAAAGTTAACTTTGAAAATAGAAACGGTTCTTAGGTTATGAATGGACACGACAAGCTGCAAGCTTTTGAACATGAAATGTTAGAACTGTGCTGCAAATGGCAAGGAAATAGCAATAATGAATTACAATTCCCCAAGCTTTAATTATAACTTACAACCATTAAAATCTAGTGTGAATACCACAGGAAATGATTTGGTTTGTTAATAACAAAATAATACATGAATATCTAGGTATTCAGAACTAATCTTTTGAAAGACTTAAAATTTAAGTGAAACATCCCAAACAAAACCTGCACAGCTATCTAAAAAAAAAAATCAGTAACATTACATTTCAGTAACCACACACCGACAACCTCACTGCTGCCATCTAGGAATATCTAGGTATTCAGAACTAATCTTTTGAAAGGTGCAAAGAGCGACGCTATAAACTGTACCTGCCTCTACTGATGCAGTATAACATTATTGTTCCTATCAGACCTTGACTGCAGAGCACCGATAAAGCAAGGCCATATTTACCTTTCAGCACGACGTAGAGCTGTATGCGTCCTGGAGTCACAACTATGTCAGGGGGATTTTTCACATCACAGGAGTAGGTGCCATTATCACTGAAGTGCATTTTATTGACCTGGATCGAGGCATCTTTCTTATTGAGGTCTCCAACCCATGTCACTCTGCCCTTGAACTGGGGTATGTCGCCAGGATAAGACTTTCCCCTCGAATAGTAGAAGAACTGTTGAGAAAGTTAAATTACAGGAATATGTAAGGTGAAGACCAAATCTAATAGCTTCAGGATACTTCTGGTAATGCTTTACTGGAATGAAGCTAGAAGACTTAGTACCAGACTGTTCCTACTCCTTCATAACAACACAATGCATAAAATCAATATAGCGAAATAAGATGTTGCAAAAACACACTAAGAGCTACTGATCTGCTCCTGTAGAACGTCCCTGCCAGGTCTCCCCCATCATTTTCATCTGATCTCTCTCTACCGGGCGCCTTCTGAACTGTTAGTTACAGATGTTATTATTTATGAAGGAGTGAAGATGGATTTTAGCTCCATTCGAGTGAAGTGTTCTTTAACCCCTTATCCCTGTTCTTTCAGAGAAGCATTCAAACAGCTACCCAAAGCTCAGGATGGATTGGATAACACTGTGAAACAGATAACAGAAGGAAAGAAAACGGTTGCAGAACGATTTCCTTGCTTTTAAAGAACGTCGCAGCAGACATCCTGTGAAGCCAGTACAACATCAGGATTAAAAGCATGAATAGAAAGGATGTTTTCAAACTGTGAGGCTCCCACAGGCAAACTGCGAGTATAAGAGCTGTTAACAGAATCTCTAAATATTGTACTCAACAAAGAAACAAGGCTCTTGGTATCAATTCAGATCAGGGGCTTGACAGCTAGGAAAAGCCTAAGTTCAGTGGGATAAGACCTTAGAGTTTTCCAGAAAAGAACATACAGTGCTCTAGAAACAGGAATTGACAGAATATATACGTTCTTACAACCATTAAGGCATTTTCCTCCTTTCTGCATTATGTACACCCAAATGAAATCAAAATTGAAAGCAAGGGCAGCAAAGTGACAATGTTGAAAGGGACTTTGCATTTCCTGTTATTTTGGGATAATGTTCAATCTTGACAAGACCCTGCAGGCCAGCAGTCCCCCTCTGTGAAGACACAGATATAGGTTCAGCTGAGAACAAACAAGCCAGGAAGCAGGGCCACTGGAGAGAAAAGTTAAAAAAAAGGCACATCACCGGACATCTCCTGCTGTGAGAGGGTCTTTTCACACTGTTGTCTGAAACACAGGTTTTATTTAACTCAAACCCCGAAGACGGTCGGTGAGAAAACATGCTGCTTTGCTTTCGTTAGGAAACCCAAAGGGCGGGCGATTATCGGAACAGCACGGGTCATCTCTGCGTTTCGTCCCGTGCGATCCAGCCCAATTAAAACGTGCGAAACGCAATACACGAGTCTCATTGCCTCGTCCGTGGGAAGGGGACACAGCCTTACATTGATGGCCCTGTCGCCCCCCAAGGGCAGAAAACTCCAGGAGACCGTGGCGTCACTGCTGATCACCTCCTTGGAGCGAAAGGTGCACTTGAGCGTCCCCGCCGTCCCGTTCTCGATGAAGATTTCAGGCGGCGTGTAAACGTCTAAGGCTGTGGCTGGAAATGTACCTGTGAAAAACGAAAAAAAAAAAACCTTTATGACCCCCCACGTTTACCAAAGCAACAGGCACCACCTTTCCTTAAAGTAGTATGAACAATGCATTTCACCGTGTTAAAAGAGAATTTAACAACGCAATGAAAATTACACAGCATAAACGAGACATGACGCCCAGTGTCTGTCGGTATTTCTGCAATAGTCCTGTAGACCACTCCTCCTCAAGGATATTTTCACTCATTATGAGTAACTGTCTGAATGCCAACCAAAGACAGAGGGATGAGAGAGCCTAAGGCTGAGCATTCATTATTCTGTGTCCAATGCTGGGCCAGCACGACTGGTGCATCGTCATGACCTCCTAGACCAGCTCATCATTGACTTAACGGGGCTGAATATAAACACTCCTTCCAACTCTTCACGAAGACCTACACCAGCCCTCCAGGATCAACTGCGGGCTACCCCGCCACACAGCCATAGTTACAAGCACCTCAACACAGCAGGCTTTCTACAGGTTCAAACCTGCAGCATTGACTTAACTGATCCAGTCAAGCTCAAACAGGCCAAGCGCAGAGGTGGGCTGAAAGCAGGCGGGTAGTGACCCTTCAGGGCTGGAGTTGTGCAGAAGACTGAAGTGAAGACTTTGCCACCAGGGGTGAGTAAGACCAAACCTCTGTCCCTGCCTTCGTAAGGCCAGTAGCGTGCTGGCACACAGAGGTTCACCAGCAAAGGCACAGAGGCATCTTCCAGAAACTCCCACACAGCGCCTTTCGGATGGAACCACATCCCTCTAAACAATCTGCAGGATAATCAAAGTTTGTAGGCATGCGACACTTGAAATAGCACCTTTTTCGAGAAATAAGACGATCAGAATTACAAAAATTAATTCCTCCTCAAAACAGTTTCAACTGTGCCCCCTGCTTCCCTGCCTCCTCCCCAACCACGTGCAAAATGGAACACCCTGACTCTAGCATTAGTTTAGGCCCAGACATTGTCAGCATCCACTTAATCTTCTGAGGATACAGAAACGTACTGCCCTGTTGCCTGGTCTTATCGCATCCCCGACAAAACAACCCCGAGTTCGTAAACAGCCTTTTGGAACAGTCTGTGACGCTCTTATCCAAGGATAAAGTGAAGCCAGTCTTTATTCCATGGCGGTAGCCCCTGTGCTGGTAGTGACAGCAATAAAACCGTGGAATAAGGAACCATATAAAACCACTGCTGGAACTGAAAACAACAACATTCCTCTTAGTGTAAATACAGATTTGAAATGACTCAGATCCCATGAGGAACAGCTCATTTAATTTTCAGAGTACTGCAGACACTCCTCTGACTCCTAAACTCCAACACAGCATAATTAAGAGATTCCAGTATGATCATCTGGGAGATGTGCCAGCAGATGCAAGATTGCACATTTCTTTCTGTGCATTTACCCTTACTCTCCCACACTGTGGATCTGGAGGTGCTTATTAATCAGTTTAAATGGTCATTTTAAAAGGTTAGATTCTTATGGGATTTAGTGTCTGGCTTAATAAGTACCCAAGTAGCAAAATAGAACATTTTGACAAACATTTAAGTGAATGCAGATGAGAAACGTTACAGATGAGAAAAAGACATTAAGTCCATCTAGCTTGTTTGACTGCTAGTAGCCTTGTGATCAGAGGGGCGTGTCATGTAATCGGTTTTGACAACTTAGGTGCAGCCCGTTCCAAAATCCCACCACACAGTGAGATGACATGCCACCTGTTTTCAGTATCAATCAGAGAAACAATCCATTAGTTCAAAATACCCCCCACTGCAGTTCAACATGAAAAACTAAATCTTCCACAACACTAAAACAGGAGGCTATAAATGTATCCTAAAACATCTGTTTCAGACCCATTTGAGGAAGTTATTTGCAGTGCTCACAAGCTGAAAACAATTCACTCCATTCCGAGACCAACCTGAAAGGCTGGTTTACACTTTAGTTTTGTATAGTCTCGGCTCGTGCAATGGCCTGTTCTCCAAATTTCCAAACAGCATCTTACAAAAACTATGGCACGTTCAAAGCCCGAGTTCTGACTAGGTTTCGTTGTGGCAAAGCTGGTCTTGAACTGCCTGCAGTAACCTACTGAATTACTGCTCTTGACTACAAAAGCCATGAAAGTCTATCCTCTCCTAATATTTCTGACCTCCTGATGGAATAAACCCACACTGGAGCTGCTCTTTTATGTGTCCCCTTGAAAAAGGCTACAGACACTGCCTGTTAAAATCCTAGACTGTGGAACAGAGTCAAGGATTCAGGTATCGTCCTTCAACCACTGTACTCCTACACCACCACACACACACATGTAAGCCAAAATTGTACTGTCCCCTCGATAGCCCAGTAAAATTGTAACAGGCATAATAATATTTAATATTTATTAATTAGCCATACTACTTTTAACCATACTATTTTTTTTTGCACTGTTCCAAGAATTACCTTGCACTGTTTTTGTCCTGTTAAATTTTCTCTGTTTGCGGAATTTTGCAGTTTTGATTACTTGATTACATGTTATTTATGTTATGTTATTACATGTTACTGTTATTGCTATTGTGTAACTGTCTATTGTCTTATCTTCTGTCCTATTTATATACTGCACCTGAGTGACTAATGAGAAACACTTTTCATTATACTATGCACCTGTGTTTAATGACAATAAAGTTGAATTGAATTGAACTGAAAGCTCACCTGAAATTGCACCTTTGTTTAAAGACTACATGATGCACACTGTGGATTGTAAATGAGTTTACTGTACAGCTCTTTGAGGCAGACTACGAACTTCAAGAAAACCCCCTTTTCTTAATGTAAACCTATACATGACCGAAAAAGAACATAAGATGCTGACCTTCCCCTGTATCTTTAGTTTAGCCGATCCAAGTGAACGTTTTGCGAAATTTAACCTTCTAGAATCGGCACAGGAAAGGGGTGTATGAGTCACAGCACCACTGTTATAGATACTTTATTGATCCTGTGAGGGGAAACTGCAGAAGAAGTGCAGAAATGATCAGAGAAGCTCGTGCTCTTCCCTGACAAATACACTGTATTCTTCCCAGCAGACTGTAGCTCTGCGCTGATCAAAGTTAGCTTTGATGAAAAGATGCTAGCTTTTGGGTAGTCGGATAAAGGCTACTTTCATCTCTGGGCCTGGTGTAAGGTTTACAGACACCTTGTCACAGGATATCATGTGACCTACGGGCTTATAAAGCCTCAGTAGACCAACAGCAGGCAACACCATTCTAAAAATAAGCTGTAGCATTTACTGATGCTAGAGACGGGCGGGTTTCTTCTGAGAATCCGCGAAATAATAATTATAGAAGAAAAGGGTGGGTAGCTGGCTTAGAGAACTACAGCTATTGTGTCCATTTAAAGTAAAATCATAGCTTTCCTTACAAAGTCGATCCATGTGTGCGGGCTCAATTCACGTAACAAGTTTAATGGAAACCGTAGTAAGAGGAAAGAAGGGACTCTTCTTGCGCCGAAAAACTGACGCAGCACCAGTTCAGATGTAGAAATATATATCGGAAGCACAGACCTGATTCCTTTCAGGCCAGTACCATATGAGTCACCCATATTGCAAGGCTCTCGCCCATAAAAGAGTATGTCTTTTCATTTTCGTTAGCAAAGACACGTCTCAAACGTTTAAAATACCGTTTGCACCGTCCACCACTGCCTGTTGTGTTGCTACTGAGCGGTGGGGGTAACCTCTAATCATGTACGCACACCCACAGTAAACGGCAAAGCTCGGGTTTTGATCGAGGTGAATCTTTCGTTTTCCAAGAAGTGAAAATGCCGGGGGACCTGCCCGTTCAGCCGGGGGGGAGGAGGGCAGCGGCTGTACCTGCCTCACCTGTGCAGCAGCAGCCAACAACACATCGGCTCCGGCGGCTGAAACCAGCCAGCGGAGAGTCCGTGACTAAACGGAAGCATTTCATCCGGCAAAAAATGTGAGCCTTGGGAGCGGAAAAAAAAAAAACGCGTTTAAAAAGCGATAAAGAAATCGAAGCTACCAGGCGCCGGAGGCCCACCGCTAAAACAGACATTTACCCTCATCCTCCTCCCCATCACCACCTCTTCGTCCGTGAATTTTTTTTTTTGTTAAGATGCATTCTTCCCTCCTGCTCTCTCATCTGCCTGCCTCCCTCCCCGCCATACTCTACCTGCGCCGATACTGACCGAGCAAGAGAAGATGCGAGCCGAGGATCCAGGCGAAAGCACGGCGCGGGTCCGAGCCCCTGCTCTCCATGGCCAAGACGGGAGGGATTCGCGAGTCCAAAACGCTGCGTCCCGTCCCCTTTTTTTTTTGTGTGTGTGTGTCTCCCCCCCTTTCACAACAACAGTCGCTCCTCTCTCCCCGTCTCTCTCTCGCTCTTCCTGCATGGCAACAGGAAGGCCCACCCCCCCCGTGTCCTCCTCCTCCTCCTCCTCCTCCGAGATCCCGGACAGTGCCCGGCACTGATTGGGATCCCGGATGGATAGGAGTGGGATCGGGATTGGGGAGTGACCGACTGGGGGAGCCCAATAGGCGCTCCGGCCTGCCAATCAGACAGGCCCTGCAGCCCTCCGCCGGAGCCCCACTGCTGCCGCGGCTCAAGCGGCGGTACTGCTGTGCAGAGTCAATAGTATTTACGTACAGTAATTATTAGAATCAACTTTATTTCGCATGGCGCCCTTGAAGGTGGCTTCTCCAAGCGCTTGACAGAATGATAACCATAAAAAACACACCAGATTCGCAGCAGGGGAAGGTCCTGTCACCCCCTCGAGTGTAGATGGGTTTTGGGGGGACAGATAGGAGACCAGAATCAGAAGAGTGGGTTGAGTGAGGGTTGTGAGGTGGGGAGTAGGATGATAGTATCAGACAGGTCATACAGAGCCTTATAGGTGAGCATGAGGACTTTGAGGCCGGAAAGACCCTTGTGCAGAGATTTAAAATTAATCTAGATGATAACTGTGCCTTTTGATACCATTCAACGTTTATTTTGGTTGTGTCCTATTGTAAAAACCTTCGGGACTGAATTGAAAACGTATGTTAAAAGAAGAAGCTAATATTGATTTTTTTTTAAGAAATGGACATCATGTTAAGCTTCAATTGAATTGGAAATAACACGAATATATCCTTTGTAATTGACTTAATTATTATTCCTGCACGTTATTATTTATGTCAAGTGAAAGGGTCTGGGAAGACTCCTATGTTGTCCTATGAACATTTTTAAATAGATGTAAAGGCGTATTTGCAGACTTTTTCGAAATGTAAAAACATGAGCATGGATCTTATCTTTATTCTGTTTAAACGTTTATTCATAATGTGTATAGGTACTGTAATATGTTCTCCTGACGATGATATTGTTATGTTATGTTATATGTACTCTTGCTTGTATTGTATTTTATTTTGCTGTCGAAATAAAAAGTTAAAATATAAATTTTACTCCTGTGGGTCTCTGTTGGGTGGGACTGGTTTTTTTTCGATTTAACGACAAGAAACCGCGTCGAGAAACAAACTCTAGTGCACTCCTGCACACCAGTCCGGGCGTTTTTTGTTGTTTTGAGTGGTACTTCGTTCAAGAGTTACGCAAGAACCGCGTCCAAGGCAAAATCTGAAAAAAAAAAGGTTATGTTTAAAACAGACCACGAATACAAGAAAAAAAAAAACGTGTCAACGTGGAAATTGAGATCAAGCACTGGGAGAGGGACTTCACGCAAGCGGCTCGTTGGTCTAGGGGTATGATTCTCGCTTAGGGTGCGAGAGGTCCCGGGTTCAAATCCCGGACGAGCCCGGTTATTTTGTTTCCTTTTTCAGGAAAGCTGGTGAATGTAAAATTTGGTTTCAACCAAAACAGTTCGAGGTCAGTCGAACACTTGTAGTATCCTTTTGCTATACCTGTAATCGTTTAAATGTTGGTACACATAAACCAATTGCTTATAATAAAATCGCAAAATGCTTAAAACACGAAATGAAAGAAATAATGCCCAAATATAGGAATGTTTAAAACAAAAAAAGTCAGATGACAAAGTGTTTCAAAATAGACACGGGCTCGTCCGGGATTTGAACCCGGGACCTCTCGCACCCGAAGCGAGAATCATACCCCTAGACCAACGAGCCGCTACGCGACTAGTCGTTGAACCACACTCCTTAATCGGTGACGTGTGCATGTGCATGTGTTGTATTAGTTGACGTATTCTGTTCCCTATAGTCTCAAAAAATAAAAAAGCCTGCTCGAGGAAGCTCAGACTTCCAACATGTCCGATTACATGCTTACCACTCTTGTTGCAAATGTGTCCCTGCGCTGCAAATAATGCAACATTCGTACGTGGTTCACAGCACTGTAAAACTAGACTTTTACAGCAGACATCTTGTATCTGTGCATCGTGGTTTGTGCAATAGGCAAGCGCCCGAGTGATTAAAAACACGATTCGGTGTTATCTTTTCTTATTTCACGGCGGTGAACACCGAGCCAGCCTCACAAGACGACGCGCTACCCTCTGCTGGGCAGTAGCCGTAATTGACGAGAGATGTGAAAGTTAGGTCTTCTGGCTGCTGTCGAAACCAAAACCAAAATGACCAAAAACGAAGCCTTAAAGAAAGGAAATGTATATAAATATGCTGTTCAGTCAAACTATAAAGGCTACTACCTTAAGTGTAAAAGTCTCTCACAGAAAAATGCACCGATAAAACAGGTCACATACAAGTAGACAATTTTGTTAAGAATCAATCAATAAAAATCAGATGAAATTTCTGTTAAAACATTTTGACTAACAGCAAAACAAGAGATATATATCGCATGTACGACTAATGAGAAGGGTTGGTCTTCCAGCGAAGTATTAGTTGGGGAAATTGTTTGCTCTGTAATGGCGTTATCGTATCTTTCTGTCAACAAATGGTATCCCAGAAGAATTCGTTTTTCCAGGATGTATACAGTTGGAATACAGTTGGTTGCGACTGCTTTGATGCCAATTCATTTGTAGGAAAGCGCCTTAGTCATTCAGGAATAGTAGGTTACTATCTCCACTGATCTTCTGCAGAAAACAACTTTTGGGCTTGTGTGTGCAGAGCTTGCAAACGCACAAGTCTGTCGTCTACACGTACTCGAGTATTCGTGTTATCTGTGTTTTTTTTACAGGAAAATATTGTATGTATTATTAGCAATCAGGTGGTAACTTTAGGAGTCAGGTGACAAGTGACAAGTTTCACAGTGATGTGGTGATTTGCCTTTCACTGGGCACAACTCCACACGACATATGAAAACAGGATTTACTTACAAATATGCGGAATCTGAAGTTATCAGGCAGTAACACGCTATGTAAACGGAAAGAAAAAAAACATTTTTCTGTAATTAGCCACCGCTGAAAAACAACAGGATTCAAAGAGAAACCAGAAAAGCAGGGCAGAAACAGTCAGACATAAAATACTTGAATTTTTTCATGTTATAAAGCATCAGTTTATCTGTAATATATCTAACATTAACACCATTGCATCAGAGAACTGGCAGGATTTTATTTAATTGTTCATTTTTGAATCTTACTATTTGAATTATTTAAATATTATTTAATATTAATATTTTAAAACATCGTTAATGGTTCAGTGCTATGTCGCACTAGAGAACCACTAGAGGAGATGAGAGAACACGTCTCATCGGTTTTATCATGATTTGTTTCTATGGTATAATTTGTGACTTACCCACAGCCATTCGGACAGCGCCCTCTGCTGTTCCTGGTGTGGTATTGGCCACAGCCCAGCGGCCTACTTGCTCAGATCCGCCTTCGGAGTTGAGCAGGGAAGTTAGAACAAGCGGTGACTTTGTGGGAAAAACGCGCATTGCTGTGTTGACACAGAAAACCTCCTGATGGCCACCTTTTTCGGGGAAGTCTTGTCTGTGTACTCCAGAGCTGTGGAGGAGGATGAAGATGAATTAGAAGATGAAAGCGAAGAGGATGTGCAAATCCGGAGAGAAATAGAAAACAAGAGGTAGATGATACCTACGTAGGAAAAAAAATGAAATAAAGGACACCCCCTTTCAAAGAGAAAACGCGTACTTCTGCATGGTGTTTTTACATTGTTGATACGGCTTTACACAAACTGTGCTATTCTGTAAACCGCTGGTATGATAATTCTAACATAGGGACACGATATGGACAGAGATTTACAATAACGTTAATATGGATGTTTTTTCAATGTACGTTAGGTGTTTTGTGGGGAGCATCTTTGGCAGAGTACGGTGCTTGTCCGTGTTGTTTTTGTGCTGTTTTATTCATATATCTCACATGTGAGGTCTCTTAACTTTCGCTTTCAGTTCTTTCTGGTCGTTTCTACCACACTCCTCAGATATCTCTTAATGGCTGGTCTGAGGACCATGAAACGTAGCTGATTTAATGGAACTATAAATTGCACCTCGGTTGTTCCAGGTTCTTACCCACCCGTGATTTAAGTGAAGCCACAATACCTGCTGGATTTTGCGTGTCGAGGAACAGAGGTCCCGGGCGCATAGAATAAAAATTAACTTACATTTAAGTGATCGATATTGAGTTTACAGCCTTTTCCAAACCGACTTGCATAAAAACGCGTTAAGAACAGGACGATGAAATCCGTCAAAGCTACTGTATGTTCAAAGGCATGTCAGAACTCAAAAAGTCATCTGTCCATCATCAGAGAGACTCTTGGTAAAGGTAGTAGCAACCCAGAGCTTATCCCATGAGCACAGGGCACAAGGCAGACCTACAGCCCGAGAGGGAATAATATGAACAACTTTCCTGTTTAAATTGGCTGCAGTAACCAACAGTTTCTGTTGTCTTTTGCTTTGGCAGAGAAGTCCATGTTCACTGGAGCTCAGAGATCACAAAGTCAACAGACAAACCCTTTCAGTGCAGTGACTTTATCATAGGAGTGGGACACAATGCAGCAGGTAAGCAGAGGGCAAAACAGCTCTTTCTTGCTTAAACCAGTTACTGCACCAGAAATAAATAGTTTAAATCAAGGTTCCAGTATACGGGCCTACATGATGAATATGAATAGTTTCTGTGACTCCTGACGCAATACCAAAAACGAAATGTCTTGCTCTAGCGTTATATTAGGCAGTTTTCCTGCTAGCTGTTGTCTGCAGTTGTTGATATTATCATTTACTTTCAATCCACCCTGTTAGACTTAACTTTGTTGAAGATTTTGCATTGGTCTGGATGCTGGAAGCTAAGGGTATGAGACTAACTTTGTACGCTGCAGTGTCGTCTCAAACTGTCCGCCACCGTAGCTCGTGAGTGCAGACGGCTCTTTGATTCATCGTGAGCGGGATCGGTGTCGCGATGCAGGAGTGGTTTGTGCCAAAGCACGGACAAGCGGAGGGGGGTTGGGGCGGATTGGGAAAGCAGCAGGCTGGGCGGCTTGGCTCGGCTCACGCGGTCTCTTCTCTCCTGCAGGGTTTCTCTCGGCCTTTGTCCTGAGCTCTGGGAGCTGGGAGGCAGTGGGGTCGGCCAGCCTGTGGAACGAGAGGAGCAGGGGCTCCAGCCAGCCGGCGGGAGAGCCCTCCTGTAGGTTCTACAGGTCGGCGGGCTGCTCCTCGGTAAGTGTCCCCTTCCGACGGATCCCGAGGGCTGGCAGGAATAGTGCGACTTCGGAGCTGTGTGCCGAGCTTTGAGGAAGGCCCTGGAAATAGCGTCAGGGTGTGCAGTCGAAGTGCACTGTCAGGCGTCTACATGGCATGGTGTAGATGGGTGAAAATGTACTGTGTTTTATTACAGCTAACTAAAAAAGTTAAGAAGACGGGGGTTTTTGTAGGTCAGGTAACAGATAGATAGATACTTTATTGATCCCGTGAGGGAAATTGCAGGTCTAACATTCACTTACGTTTCTGCATTCCTCTCTTTTGTGTTATAAGGTTCTAATATGTCTGTGCACGTGCTTTGTAGCTGAAGACCAGTTATTCCAGTGGACTGAAAAGGTAAGATAATGTCGTTTTTTTATTTCTTTTAGACATCGACGTGAGTTTGTTCTAAGCCTGCTTCTGAGCCGAGATGACAGTGAGTCTTAAGCCATGTGTAGCCAGTCTAGCCAATCAGACATTTAGTTCAGTTGAGTTTCACAGACCTAACGTATGGTAGTCATAGACCCTCTGCTGACTGAGAGCTGGATTTGAAACGGTCTTGTCTGAAGGCAGGTTATTCAGGCTCAGTCTCTGATGACAGAAGGCAGATAAAGCCATTTAAAAGTGTTTACTCGCGCGTGGTTTAGGAACGCATGCCAGAGCTAGTGGAAAAACACTTACTCAGGCTTCCACAGGGGTGTTGTGAAACCTCTGCCTTAGCAGGCGGGTGAAGAGGGGGCTGCGAGACTCTTTCTGTACCCCTGTGGTCCGCAGGTCTTCGGCTTTATCCAGACGAGAGGCCTGCAGGTGCTGGTGCTGTCGGACGCGTCTGTGTCCGAGTACACAACGGCAGATCCCGTCTCCGCCAGTCCAGTGCCCTTCCTGAGAGCCTTGAAGTCCAGCGCCTATCAAGACAGGGTGCACTGCCCCATGATGGAGCAGCCCAACATCGTCACCTGCCTTCCTGCTGCAGGTACTGCCAGTGTCCTGGCTTTCCAACCATTCATCCTTAGACACCTGCTCGATTCGAGACCCTCCGGTTTTCTTCAGAAATAATCATTTCTGCGACAGCTTCATCATAAATTAGTCTTTCACTTTTTTAGTTATTTCTGTGGTATTATTTTCCCTCAAGAACATCTGGGAAAGGTGAGGACTGTTCTAAAATAGGCAGGGGACTGTTAGTGATATTGCCAACGCCAGACAGACCAGAGGCTTGACAAGCACCTGTTACAGCTGAGTGTTTTCTGTGAAGTGCTCGATGATCCCCTCTGCATTCTTTTTTTCAGTTCTGAGCCACTGTCAGGTTCATCAGATCCCAGCTGTCCTGTATCAGTGCTACAGTGATGTCGTCAGTCCTGATACCGTCACCATGGAGACCTACAAGCCAGCCCTGCCTTGTCTGAGCAAGTTAGTAACGGTGAGTAAAAGATTCTCTTCACCTGGGATAACGTCATCCTGCATACCAACATGTTCCTTCGCGCCTCTCTTGCTTCTAAAACTCAACATTTTCAGTTTAGCTCTGAAGAAGATATCTTGCATTTGCAGTGCTAAATCTCACCCTCTCTTCTTTGTTTCCAGCTGGACTCCAGTCCTAGTATTGATGTCCTCAGGAAAGTGGTCAAATCCAGTGAATCTCAAAGTAATCTCTACACTTAAACCAACAGTAAAATTTATTTTTTATTTTTTTTCTCAGCTGTATTTTTTGTAATGATGTAGATTAATACTTGTAAAAATGAATAAATGACATCACCGTTAAAAGTCACAAAAACAAAGAGTTCGTTTTTGGGAGCTTGATTTCTAAGCAGCATGGAGAATTTCGATCGAACAGTCGCCTGACTTTGAATGATTTTATGCTATTCCTCCAGTCTGCCTCTTATACAATTAGACATTCTGAGTGTAAAGTTATATATGTATTTATTGTGGACATTTGCCAGCATCCATATCACCCTGCAACTCAACTGGCAGCCCACTGAAGCTAAGCGTGCTTGAGCCTGTTCAATACCTGGATGGGAGACCTTTGGGGAAAAACTGAGGCTGCTGCTGGAAGAGGTATTAGTGGGGCCAGCAGGAGGCGCTCACCCTGCGGTCTATGTGGGTCCTAATGCCCAGGTATAGTGATGGAGACACCGTACTGTAAAAAAGGCACCATCCTTCAGATGAAACGTAAATCCCAGGTCCTGACTCTGTGGTCATTTAAAATCCCAGGGTGTTTCTTGAAAAGAAGCGTGTTACCCTGGTGTCCTGACCAAATTATCCTCTGGCCTTTACCAGTCATGGCCTCCTAATAATCCCTATCTCTGAACTGGCTTCATCACTCTGCTCTTCACACTGATAGCTGGTCTGCATTACCTGTAAAGCGCTTTGAGAGTGGAGTGTCCAGAAAAGCGCAGTTTAAGTTTAAGGTATTATTATTATTCCTCAACAACTGATAGCTGAGTTACATAACGATAGCAAAGCAATGCATTGTGATAAATGTAGTGGTCAGTTCCCCTTAATAACCACAAGGGGGGGCCAGATAAAAGCAGCAGAACATCAACGTTTAGATCTCCAGTGGTCAGTTCGTACGCTCGCCAGAAAAGATGAGAAAAATCACCTTACTCAAAGTAGGAATGCTTACAATACATTCTTATCCACCCACACGCTCAGAATCGTAACAGTACTGACAGGGTAGTCTTGGGTTTATCGCAGCAATATTTTGGTGTTTTGTTTTTGTTGTAAGCTTGCCTGTGTGATGGACACGTGTTTCCCGTATGCAAACACAGCAGTAGGGTTAGCCACCTTTTGAGAGGGAGCTATCAGTCGGCTCTCCTAGGCTTACTCTTTCTCGTTCTCTCTCTCTCTGGAATCAATTATTTGTCTGCTGTATTTCCTGTGTGGCCTTTCTGAATCCAACTTCTCTGGCAGCAGATAAAAAAAAAATCGCTTTTCTCTGGAAGCACAAGTTTCCATTTCTGAAAACCTGCCTGCAGCTCGGACTGCACCCTCGATGATCTTGAAAGAACCGTAGTTTATGCAAACGTACACCACACAGGGGATTTTCAAGTGTATGTGCTGTTTTCGTTTTTTAACCTGTTCACATTTACTGGCGCGAGTGACATCGGGAGGGGGAAAAAAAGATTTTGCAGTGTGCCGTTCACAGGGGTTTCTCAAAGGCTGCGCTGACATTTATGTTACACAAGTCTTTCGTTTTTGCTCGCTTTAAAACTTTGCACGGAATCTCACAAATGAGATGGACGGCCCCTTTTTTCCTTTTGTTTCACAGCCACACAACCAATTAACTTGACCAACTGACCCTTAATGTACTGTAAAATAAGTTGAAAGATAAATACTAGTGAGATCTTGAGGTCAAAGCTATTAAGCTCTTTTATTAAAGGACTGGTCCAAGGAGTGTTGTAATTTAAGCACTTGGTGTAAAAAAAACTAAAAATAACTTTTGTGGTGGGAGTAATACCCTCTGTGTATGACTCAATAGTTAGGGAGCCTGACTGTTGCTTTTTGCACATAACAGTGATAAATGAGTCTGTCTAATGTAGTTAAGAAGCTGAACGCACGCCAGTACACTGTAATCAGCCATTACACATTTGCAGTATTCTTACGTCCAGAAGGAGGAGCAATTGAACTGTTGGTCTGTTTAGCTGTGAACGTTTATTTAATATATGCTCTTAAATTATTTTCTCTTTTAAACTCTATTTGTTTCTGCAATGTTCCTGCTTTTCGATTTTAAAGAAACAGACTAAATGAAACAGAAACGAGTGGACACAAATGGAAATTATGCCGAACAGCATTTAAAACTCAGAAAAGAGGTCCCTTCTAATCGAATACTCTGGCCTTTAAAAAAAAAACTACTATACGAGAAACTTTTATCAATTAATTACTGTTTGCCAAATAGGATACGTGTCCGCCTCTCATTTATAACCCTGATCATCTGCACATTGGTGGTGGTGGAGTTGAGTTGCCATTACCTGTAAAGTGCTTTGAGTGGAGTGTCCAGAAAAGCGCTATATAAGTGTATTATTATTATTATTATTATTATTATTATTATTATTATTATTATTATTGACCAAAGATGTGAACAAGAAATGCTTTCAGATACTTGTATTTAAGTAGTTGGTTTTATATAGGAACCACTTAAATAACTTTGCCCTCGCAGAAGAGTTGGTTTTAAGTATTATATTGCATACAGCTATTTCACCCTGCAGCTTACATTTGGGGTCCCACTGAAGCTAAGGTACCTGCATGGGAGAACACCTGGGATAGCTAAGGTTGCTGCTGGAAGAGGGTGTTAATGGGACCAGTAGGGGGCGCTCTCCCCAAGGTCTGTGTTGGTCCTAATGCCCTAGTGTAGTGACGGGGACACTATACTGTAAAAAGGTGCCATCTGTTGGATCAGATATAAAAATGAGGTCCTGACTCCCAGGGTGTTTCTCGAAAAGAGTCGGGGCGTTACCTGGGTTTACTGGCTCAATTTCACCCCTGACCTTTACCGATCATGGCCTCCTAGTAATCCCCTGTCCATGAACTGGCTTCATCACTCTGCTCTCCTCCCCACTGAGAGCTGGTGTGTAGTGAGCATACTGGCGCGCTAGTGGAGGTGGAGGGGAGTCCCCATTACCTGTAAAAGTGCTTTGAGTGGTAAAGAGTAAGGAATTCTAAATGAAGTGGAGGATTTTATCCTCAGAGCAACGTATTTGAAGGGGTGGTGATGGTGGCAGTTGTTGGAAGTAAATTAGCAGTGAGAGGGTGAAAGATCCCTCTTTGTTGATGGGATAAGCAGAGTCAACAGCTCTGTACAGTTCGTTTCACAGCTGTATTGAACCTGCTGAAGAAGACTGTTCTTCCAGAAACACTGGATCAGGCCGAGGTCTGGAAATGTAACAAAACATCTGCTTCTAGGTTCTGGTTAAGAAATTGCAGGCTGCACCCTGCGGACTGGATACTGGGTCCTGGCTAGAGCCTTGCAGTTCTGTGCTAAAAGGGACATAACAGCTTTTTCCTTCAAATCCCAATACATTAGATTTCATCCTCTATCTCCTGTGTACTGAGATTTTAGACTCCCAGCATCATGAAGTGAAAATAGTCAGATGCAGATGGTAAAAATGCAGCTGGCGAAGTGGAATTTTACAGGACCTCATTGAATAAATGTACTTTTTTAATCAGTATGGATAGATTTCATCCTTCTGCTTGAATTGTGTACTGTAACGATGATCCTTGCATTAGGTGACAAGTTAATAAATGTACTACAGGTGCTGTGTTAAAGCTCCCGAAGAGAATTGCTTTTTTGCTCCACTCAGTTCTACTCTCAGTCTGCAGTAGTCTGTGGCATTTGACTCAACTATTTTATTCACCCTAAGATTGTTATTGGATTTTTAAAAATCCTATGACAAAGCTCTAAAACAACAGCTTGTTCATTACTAACATCGAATGGATCTCATTGGAAAACAAATATTTTTAGACTAATCTCCAAATACATCATGATTACAAATAGTTTTGTTTAGAAAGCTCTCCTGCAGTGTTTCTTTATTTCTTGTGAAGTTTTCACTAACTAGTACTAGCAGCGTTATTTATTGTTTTCTATTGAAAAAATAACAACAAAATGCTCTATTTAGTGAAATTTAATGAGCAATTTAACACAATCACAAAATATTACTGTAGAATCAGTCCTGTAAATATGATTATTGCTAGTTATTCTTCCAATTAGTTTAAAAGTGGCTGACTAAGTGCACATAGGATAATTTACTTGTATAAGCCAACAGCCTTTAAAAACAGTTCTCAAGGCAGCTGAGTCAACCGTGAAGAGGCAAACCACCAGGAATTACTTTGTGCCAGTATCTCCTGGAAACCTTGTTCACAGAAAGATTCAAACTCAGCCCAAAAGCCAAGAAGTCTGATTTGAATTCTGCATTTGCAGACATTTCCACTGAAAATGGAACAGTCTTATGCACTCTTGGGTTTCCCCTCTTGAAAGTCACTGTCTTGAGTCGAATTTTATATAACTATTCTGGCTTCTGTTCAAGAAAGATTACAACTCTGAGGAGGCCATTTGGCACATAAAGACCGACTGGTAATTAGTAGATGATTGATTGAGGAAACTCATCCAGGTACATCTTGAATGAGGTCAAAGTCTCGGTTTAAACCAGATGGCTGGGTAGCTTGTTCCATACTCCCACACCCCTCTGGGTAAAGAAGTACCTCCAGTTCTTGTTTTCAATTGCACCTCCACATACTTGCCACTTGTGACCTCGGGGTGTGGGTTCACTTGTGATCATTTTGAATGAGTCCGCTGGGTGGACTTTGTCAGTGCCCTTGAGGATTTGAAATAGTTTGATCAGGTCCCGTCGCAGTCCTGTCTGTCCAGGACTAAAAAGGTTTAGTTCTTTCAGCCAGTCTGTATAGTCTCAATTAAGTCTCAATTCTTTTAAGTCTCAGAATACATCTGGTTACTCTTCTCTGGATAGACTCCAGAACAGCAATATCTTTTTTGGAATGTGGGGATGTTAGAAAATGTCTGATGTCTCAATGTTTAATTTAATTTTTATTTCTAGAAGCTCTTGAATTTTATATTAACCCAGTCTTCAGTTTTCATGTATGATCTTTCAATGTCAGTGAGTATTGTTGGACCCTTCAAAACATTTCATTTTGTATTTGGCTCTGATGGAGAATGATTCAATTTACCCATTCGATGTTTTTATCTGTTAAAAATACTAGACTGAAGAAGGCTCAAACACAGTTTACATATTAAAAGAG